AAGGATACTTGTCTGTGAAGGAAGGTTATTTTTTTTTTAACTGCAAAAGACTCCGCAAAAGCTCTGGCCCTATAAAATTCTAATGTTGAATAGACAAATCACAGAAGTATATAAATTCTATATAATTCTACTTATCAAAAACAGGCAAAACTAAACAATAAGGATGCATATATATAGTGGCAAAAGTATATAGAAATACAAAAGAGTGATTAGCAAAAAATTCACAATAGTGATCATTTCTTGAGGAGTTAGGGGTTGGGGGAAAGCATCCAATTAGGAAAGAATTCATGGTGGCAGTGGAGAGTTCTAAGGTACCAGTGATGTTCTGCTTCTTAGCCTGAGTGGTGGATACTCAAGTATAATGCTACTGTCATTATTTATTCCACACATGCACATTATGCAAAAGAGTTTATTTTAAATATAAGGAACTCCATCCAAGAGTATTGCCTGGTAAGGAAGGGATCCCAACAGAAGGTCTGGCCAGGGTAGATTGCCGGGCCCAGAGATGAGAATCCTAAGTATAAGTGGTTGTGGTGGTTATGTTTGTATGTCAACTTGGCTGGGCCTGGTTGAGTGGCTGGCCAGCTAGATGTAGTATTCCCCATGATGAGACTGGTAATCAACTCCATGGTGGAATCTTCTGTGAGCAGCTGCCTTTGGGTATGTGGTCTGCTTCCTATATATAAGCAGCAGCTTTGGGAATGGTCTCTAGCTTATGGCACACTTGGACCCTGAGTGTAGCCATGTCATTGTTCAGCAGTCTGCCATGCTCTGCTGACCTTGGGACTTACAATGGACTTGAATTAATGGCCTGCTGTGTGGTTTGGTAATATTGGGACTGTGCCTTTTTACTTATCAACCTTGGGCTTGTCAGTCTCAACAGCCAGCAGCTTGTCTGAGTGAAGAAAAGCCTCTAGCTTCAGTGGGCCAGGAGCTGGAGGCAGAGCTGAAGCCCAAGGTTGAGGGGCTTTCACCCAGCCCCTAGAGCCTGGCACTTTGGACTTGGACTTAAAGCCTCCAAACTGTAAGAGAATAAACTTCTGTTTGTTAAGGCCATCCCATTTGTGCTATATTCCTGTCAGGGTGGCACTAGGTAACCAGAATATGGCACCGAGAGAGTGGGGTGCTGCTCTGACAGATACCTAAAATGTGGAAACAGGAGTGGAGTGCGTCCTTGACCCGAGATCCTGGCATGCTAGAGACCTTGGCATGCGGCATGAGAGACAGCAGGAGCAGAGCCAAGAGACTGGCAGAGAAATACTGCCAGAGAGACCAGCATGAAAGACGGCAGGAGCAGAGCCCAGAGACCAGCATTAAACAGCAACAGGCTTACCAGCTCATGGAGGAGAACGCCCGGTGCCACTGGGTAGGCGACTTCCTGGTGGAGTAGGTTGCCTTCGGGTGTTAACTGGTAGAGAAGACTGACGTAAAATGGAGTAGCAGGTTTGGCTGGCTCACAGAGCAAGAAAGATGAGTGTTTTTAGGGCAGGAAGATTTCCTGCAGAGTGGGTTGCCTTCGGTATTGATCGGCAGAAGTGGAGAGACCAAGGAAACAGAAGCAGAGCTGCCTCAGCCTGAAGGGGTAGGACCATGGCCTTTGGGGGTGGAACCGCCACAGCTCCCTGGGTTTCAAAGAGCCAGACCTTCACCAACTCGGTTCTGGAGTGTGGGGCTGCTTGTTCATGTGAGCAAGTGGGATGGAGCCATAGCTGCTGCCCAAGAGTGAGGGGGCGGGGCTGCCATGCCTGAGAGGGAAAGGAACAGGGCCTGCCAGGCCAAGGGGGTGAGGTCACTACTCAGGAACTAGGGGACTGGAGCCACCCAGTGGAGGAGACCTGTACAGATACCACCCATTGAAGATTGGTACAGGTGCCAAGTTGACAAGGGGTGGAATTGTGGTGGTTATGTTTGTGTGTCCACTTGGGTGGGCCTGGTTGAATGTCTGGGCAGCTGGATATAGTATTCCCCATGATGAGACTGGTAATCAACTCCACGGTGGGATCTGCCACAAGCAGCTGAGTAGCTGCTTTGGGTGTGTGGTCTGTTTCCTGTATTTAAGAAGCGGCTTTGGGAATTGTCTCTAGCTTATGGCACGCTTGGACTCTGCATGTAGCCGTGTCGTTGTTCAGCAGCCTGCCATGCTCTGCCAACCTTGGGACATTCAATGGACTTGAATTAACAGCCTGCTGTGTGGTTTGGTAACATCGGGACTGTGCCTTTTTACTTGTCAACCTTGGGCTTGGCAGCCTCAGCATCCAGCAGCTGTCTGAGTGAAGAAAAGCTTCTAGCTTCAGTGGGCTAGGAGCTGGAGACAGAGCTGAAGTCCAAGGTTGAGGAGCTTCCACCCAGCCCCTAGAGCCTGGCACTTTGAACTTGGACTTAAAGCCTCCAAACTGTAAGAGAATCAACTCCTGTTTGTTAAGGCCATCCCATTTGTGGTATATTCCTGTCAGACCGGCACTGGGTAACCAGAACAATGGTTGAAGGAGGAGAGCCCTTGACTGCCTAATGGAAGATGAGACGGGAGGACTACAATGGAATCCCTTAAAAGTGCTTATGAAAAAGCAAATTAAAAGCACAATGAGATACCATTATTAATATGTCTAATATTAAAAGACAGAAACAAAAATCTGACAATACCAAGTGTCAGCAAGAATATGAAGCAACTGAAAAGTTCATATATTGCAGGTGTGGACGTAAAATGGTAAGTCACTTTGAAAATAGTTTAGTAGTTTCTTTTAAAGTTAAGCATACAGTTACCATATGACCCAGTTAAATGAAAATCTGTGTTCACATAAAAATCTGTACACTAATGTCTGTAGCAGCTTTATCTGTAATCACTAAAGCATGGAATCAGGAGCTCTGGTAGCAAAGTGCCTAAGGCACTTGACTGCTAACCAGAAGGCTGGCAGTTCAAACCCATCAGCCACTCCTTGGAAGGAAGATGGGGCAATCTAATTCCATAGTGATACTGGCTTGGAAACCCAAGGAGGGGTCACTATGAGTTGGTTCCGACTCAACGGCACATAACAACAACAACAAAAAGCCTTGAAACAAGCCAAATTTCCCTCTGCTGGGGAATGGATAAACAAACTGTGGTATATCTGTACAATGGAACATTATGCTGCAATAAAAAAGAAGAAAAAAAATCTGTAAAATGGAATACTATGCAGCAATAAAAAGGAACAAACAACTGAGACAGGCAAAATCATGTTAAGTGAAAGAACTCAGACTCAAAAGGCTATATATTATATGATTCTATTTACATTCAGAGGTTACTGGGATGGTGGGCCTGGGGGAGAGGTTGAATACAAAGGACACGGGAGTTTTTTGGTGTGGTGGAACTGTTCTAAGAATCTTAATTGGGGTGGTGATTACATGACTGAATGCATTTATCAAAACTCACAGACCACTAGACACAGTACACTATAAAGGGTCTATTTGACTGTATCTAAATTTTACCTCAATAAAGTCTTCCCTCCTCTCAAAAAATTTTCATGGGCAAATGTTATGTCAGATGATAATTTAACAGCCCATATAGAATTGTGCCTTTGTTATTTTAATCTCTTCTTCCCCTAGGCCTGATTCTGATTGAGCAAATAGAATACAGATGAGTTGGAAACATTAAAAAAGGAAGCTGCCCTTGCCCCAGCACCAGCAGTGCAATCCCCACCACTGCAGACTTGCAGCCTAAAACAGTAATACACTGAGAGAGGAGAGCAACTCTATATTGCATTAAAATGTGAAGTCTCGCTTCTTACTTTGAGCTCGGCATTTAATTACTAAAATAGGACAATTCTTGTGACCTGAATTCGAGTAAGAACAAGGAAAGAATCAGCCCACAGAGGATCTGAAGGAACAGTGGGAAAGAAGAAGACCAAGCAGTGTTTCATTCTGTTGTGCACAGGGTCACCATGACTTGGGGCCAACTGCACAGCAGCTGACAACAATGATCACTTCCTACAGAGTCCAGTTTGTTGAATACAGTGATTACACTTGCAATCAGTGTGCTAGTTACAAATGACTCTTATCTGACCCTTGTTGTTGTTGTTACGTGCCATTGAGTTGGACCCGACTCATAGTGACCCCTCTTTGGGTTTCTGAGGCAGTATCACTATGGAAGTAGATTGCCCAACCTTCCTTCCCAGGAGTGGCTGGTGGGTTTGAACCTCTAGCCTTCTGGTGAGCAGTCAAGTGCCTTAGCCACTATGCTACCAGAGCTCCTTATCTAACCCTACATGTGCTAAATAGGGAACTCTCTAGGAGCTCTGCTAGCGTAGAGCCTAAGGCACTTGACTGCTCACCAGAAGGCTGGCAGTTCAAACCCACCAGCCACTCCTCAGAAAGAAGGTTGGGCAATCTACTTCCGTAGTGACATAACAACAACAGTGATACCGCCTTGGAAACGCTAGGAGGGGTCGCTATGAGTCGGGTCCTACTCGATGGCACATAACAACAACAGCAACATATTCCAAATGAATGAGATCATAGTTTTACAGCTTAATAGAATATAGAAAGTAGGTCCCATTTCCTAATGATCCAGCACCAAAATATATTTCTCGTGGTAGTGAATCAGGGCCACTGTACAAGCATAACAGGCTGGAAGGTGCAAATCTATGGTTTTAGAGGCATTCACATAGCAGATGCTGAGTGATCTAAGATCCCCATTGTTGTCTGCCATGCACACCATTGTACTTTCAGTGCTAGAACAGTGCCTGTTACACAGAAGGAAAATACTTTTGTTGATAATTGGGTGAATGAAACTCTAAGATGCAAATGGGAAAATGTGAAACAGCTCAAGGCTTGAGCTACAAATTTTAGTTAGTTACAGTCATAATGATTTTATAGGTAACCCTTATGACGATGGGTTGAGTCTCAGCTTGATAATAAGGGCACTGAGGATCACTTAAAGTCAGTAAGCAGCAAGTGAATAGGTTGATGATCCAAGTAATTATAACTGGAAATATCTCTTTCAGTATAAAACACAAACTGGAAGAAAATTTTGTTCAAATTCTCTATGGAGAATATTTTTATTTATTTATATTCTTCTTGCATACTCTATAACGCACAGTGAATTTCCTCTCTTCAAAAACAGTTGTGAGCCTGGTCAATTTATCTGAGATCTTCGGAAGGTCTTCGGAAACATTGCCTTAGGTTTCAGCTAAGCAATTCACAGAGATTGGTCATGAACAACTACAAAATTACAGCGGATCTAGTTATTATCCAACAGTTACTAGAAAAGCGTTGAAAACTCTAGACATACAGCCAGACAGAGAGGGTCAGAGAAGAGCAGATGCTATTTAAGTAATGGAATTTCCATATATATTACTCTATGTACAGTATTAGGATTCTTTTACAGACAGTAAACTGATGCTTAAGTCATTATTTTAAGGGCACTCTAATATAAATACAAGTTTCACTGATTTCCATCTTTTTTCTTTGGCTCACAAATGCACAAAAGTACCATAAACAGTATTCAGAACTTACTTCAATAATATATAAATAAGATACATTACAAATGGGAAGAAAATACAAGACACCTCTTTAACATGGTAAATCTCTGAATATAAATAAGCAAATATTTCATTTACCTACAATTAAACAGTCATTAAAATCATTACATGTGTTCTTTCCCTCCCCCAAGTCAAACAACAGTAATATACAATCTACACAAATTAATCTCTAAAAACACAGCAATAGTACACCTGTGACAATGCTACTATTTTCCCCTAATAGGATAGTGATGGGAAGGGTGTGACTTGTCATCTAGTGGTGCTTTTTCTCATCCATCATGACTTTGGATGAGAGAAATAGTGGCAGTGAGGTCAACTCCCACCACCAGCATTTTCCCTTGGTCCCTAGGATACTACATTTTGAACAACATTTTTCCTGTGGTTGTTGGGCTAGCTAGTTTGCAGCATGTTTAGCCCCTCAGTAACTGCTGAAGGTAAAGTTAATTCTCTTGGAGTGGGAAACATGCTGTGATTTATTACTAAGCCACACTCACTATACATATATATATATATAGAGAGAGAGAGAGAGAGGTATATATAACTGTACATATATACTTTGTTCCTAATGTGCAACTTTTAAAAAAGAACAGTACTTTCTGCTAGCTATAACAAACAAGTTTAAGTGAGATCTTAACAGTATTCTTCAGGACATTATATTTTCCCTCAATGAAATGGACTATGTGTTTCAGCAACTCAGAGAGGTTTGTTCTAGAGTGCCAGTGAGGACAGAGACTTCCTCATCACTCATCATCTGCCAAGGGTGATTACAGATCCTGGCCCAATCTTTCTATCTCCTCAATGAGGAAGTCGATATCAGACTGGGTAGCAGCTGGGTTCGAGATGACCATCCGGAAGAAATTAGCCTTGTCCCCTTGAGGTTGGTAGCCAACCATGGTTGTGCCTGATTCCATCATTAAAGCTTTGATTTTCGGAGCCACCTTGTGATTGAAAACACAAAATGAAACTCAAGACTGATATTAACACCCCTCTCCCCTCTCTTTTTAACAGTTCAACCCATTTTGTGGTTGGAAAATGAGCAACTTGCTTTTTACTGTTTGTGTTTACAAAATAGTAAATACAAAATATTTGAACAAAATATTTACAAAATATATACAAAATATTTCAAAGCAAAGAAATATTTTATATCCATGTATCCTCAGTAGTTATGACTATTTAATGTCTATCTAATCATAAGTTTCTCTCAGAAAGTACTGTGGGACTGAATTGTGAGAATGTCAGTCATAGCACAATGATAACAAAATGAAAAACAAAAAAAAATTCTTATAGGCAACAATGCAAACTAAGGCTTCTGTGTAATCCAGAGCCCAGCACACTGCATTCCACACAGACTGTGCTCAACAAATATTTGTTGAATGGTTGAATGGATAAAATAAAATAAAATAAAATACAAACAGCTAGAAATAATATAAAATAGATGTAGAAATCAATAACTAGAATGAATTAACGTTAGAGTAGACTTAAAGACATTTTAACAAAGAGGTAATATCAAATAGAATGTTCTTAGGAACACATATGGAGTCCCTGCTGTTGTGTGCCGTCAATCAGTGAGGTGATCTCAACTCACAGAAACCCTGTAGGACAGAGTAGAATTGCCCCATAGGGTTTCCTAGATGTAGTCTTTACAGAAGCAGACTGACACATCTATATCCCTCAGAGCAGCTGGTGGGTTGGAACTGCAGAACTTCTGGTTAACTATCAACCCAGATCTTGACTATTGCACCATCACAGCTCCCATGGAGTCTCCAGGTGGTGAAAATAGTGTGCTCCCTGCTAACCAAAAAACTGGCTTTTGAGTCCACCCTGACGTGGCCTTGGAAGAAAGGCCTGGTGATCTGCTTCCAAAAGATCAGCCCCTGAGGACTTGAAGGATCACAGCTCTACTCTGACACACGTGCGATTGCTATGAATTTGACTTGACACAATGGCAACTGTTGTTTTTTTTTTTAAGGAACATGTATATTATCCAATTGTTCTGTGTACAACCTCTCAATGAAGGACACCAACCTAAGGTAGAGATGCATCTTTTAGCAGTTCCCATTGTGTCTGAGCCACAGCAGAGGGGGCAATCTAAGCCTAAGGAGAGCAATGTAACAAGCTAGCTCCCCTCACTCCACTATTAGAAGCTCATCCCAAGTCTTGATTTCTCCCCCATTAGAAAGACACATTAGAATGAGGACACCCTGATTAGATAGAGAGATTACAGAGGGCTGGATGAGACAAGGAGAGAGCCCATACCCTGTGTAGCTTTTCCTGTCGTTCAGGGCTATCGGGAACACCCCTCAGGCTTTGTGGAATATACCAGAAGCAGACGTTTGTGTGCTCAGGCTGCAGAAATTTAACAAACAAGTAAACAGAAAAATAAAGACAGTTATGAACACTTGAGAGAAATCTGTTCCTAAAACCCATATGCACCTTGGTGGAAACTTTTTAGACCAAAGAAAAAGGCTTAATGTCTTGAAGACAAGACTACTAGAATACCCAGGAGAACAAGGCTTAGTTTATCCAATCACATCCAGCAAGGGAGGTATTCCCCACAACCAATGTTCTAGGTAACAGAAGTTACCACCTTTAAACAGAAATGTTTGTTTGTTTTAAATACATTATTTGGGTAATTTTTAAAAAGTATTCTTCATCTTACCATTTTTTATACCTCACATATAGAATATGCTTGAAATAGTTTGTTTTATTGATTTTGAATATTTTATTGAATTTATGATATTGTTACTGAATCTTGTCTTTATTACTCAAGCTTATTATTATGAGTGTTGATACTGGTTTTAAACCATAAGACAGGGCTTACTGAGATGCCTACAACTGTTTAGCATCCCTGCACTAAAGACTCCTGTGTTTTTTGAGTTCTTCTGTGTTCTTGCTATAGTTTTCCGCTTCCTCCCAGTTGCCATCATTCTGTCTGCTTCTACTGCTTCTTTCTTGAGATATCACACTTGCTATTTCTAATCTTCTATTCAAATGTTTAAAATACAGGAATATTTTATCCTGGATTTGAGCTGTGCAGGGCTCTTTTATACTCATTTGGTGACTCTCAGGTGTGTTCCTAGTTCAAGTTGCTTGATAGATGGGCTAACGATGAATGTAGGTGGTGGTATATTTTACTGGGTTATACATTTGCTTTCCAGCACTGGCCCTTCTTCCACCTTTCTTGATTTAATTGTGAGCTCCCTTATGGCAGTATCTGTTTTGCTCAGTACTTTATAATCTAGCTTCTGGCACAGTGTCTGGCACACTCAGTAAAATCGGTATGACTAGAACTTTACTGTGTGCAGTGTGGACACAAACTTAAGACAATTTTATCTTCCTCTCCTCATAATGAACCTACGTAGAACCTTTGGTAGAATCAGTCTTAGGAGACAAGGATATACTCATCCTATAAGCTTCCTGGAACTGAGAACCACTTTATCGTGGAAGCTCAACACAACAGTAAGACAAACATAACAATGATGAAGGATTCAGATCTGGCAAGGATAGCCCTCTTGTATGCAAAGGGCTGGCTGAATGCTACACATTATAGAAGAGGTAAAAGGGAAAAACCATCCAAATGCTGCTGGAAGAAGAGTTTGTAGACACGGAGAGAATTAAATGAAGGGTGCATAAGAATAAAACTTCAGAAGCAGCATCTTGTAATGTGGAAAAATACAGCTTCAGGAACATCCCTCAGTAAGTTCCCAGAATGCTCTGCATTCACTCTGGGATGACAACCCACCTCACCATCGAAAACCATCTCAAATTCTTCTCTGTTTTTAATCTTGGCATAGAGGTATTCGGCCAGTTCCAGGCATTTGTTGATCTGATGCTCAAATCCCACTGTGCCCTATTTTAAAAAGAAAAGTCATGTTTGTTGGTGACAGGTAGCATTTCCACATAGTGCCTAAGGCACTTGACTGCTAACCAGAAGGCTGGAGGTTCAAACCCACCAGCCACTCCTCGGAAGGTTGGGCAATCTACTTCCATAGTGATACTGCCTCAGAAACCCAAGGAGGGGTCGCTATGAATCGGGTCCAACTCGACGGCACATAACAACAACAGCACATTTGGAAAGGCTACACTATCCTTGTTTATAGGAAATATACAAAAGAATATTCTTGGGGATGGTGAGGAAGATCCATCTGATTAAATGTGTAAAGCTTCTCCACAGCTCTGCATGCAATAAAGTGAAGTGTGCCTGCTTTCTCTTTTGAAGGCCCTCTGGTCTCCAGGCTGTTATTCTCAAGAGTGCCTTTAGCTTCCCACTCTTTATTCACAGTCTGGACCTGAAGCATCTTTCAGGATGCTGGTTTGCATTAGGATGGTGCTACCCAACTGTCATCTATGGACTGAGGCCAGTCCACAAACTGTAGTAACCAGTCCATGATAGGGTAAGTACAGAAATTGATAGTAACTGATAAGAGATTTTTATAACAATTTACCGAATAATTTTATGTCATTTGAATCTAATACAAAAAATTGGGATTGCATTTTTGTGTGGGTTTTTACTTCATTTTTCTAGCAATTCATTTTTATTATATCGGTCCATGATAGATAAATAAACAAACTGGTTCTTCATCATGGATAGTTTGGGAAACACTGCTTTAGAATACATCTCCAGTAATAAATCCTGGCCAAACATGTCCCACTCCCTCCTAGGCAAGCAATGTTCCATTAAACATAGCATTATCCCTTTGTGGTAGCAGGCAGGCAGGCAGGCAGATGGGAAAGCCATTGGTCTCAGTACATGTCCTGGTTTGTAATAACTCCAACTATTGACAAACTGGTTGAGTGTGAGTTTCAAAAACCAGCATGGCTGATTAACAGCGGCATGAGGGTTGTTGAGTGGGTTGGGTGTTAACAAGAGCAGATGCACAAGGCTGGCTTGTGGATTGCTAATGGGCCTGGGTAAGGTCCAACATTGGCAAAGTATGAGCCTCCCTAAGTAGTGTCACTGCTAATGGTACACCTTGGCCAGTCCACTGGGGAATGAAGTCCACATCAAGGTCTCAGCCAGCAACCAATATACTATGACCCAAGCCTCCAGTAGAGTTCAAGAGGTTATTGTTAGGCAAAATGAAAACACAAATTACTGAGATAGACCATATGTTCATCATATTTAAAAACAAAAGGGCTCTTCTTGTCAATGGCTTAAGTTCCTCTTGGTGAAATTTATGACTATTTATATGTCTGAAGAGAGTCCTTGCATAGTATAGATGGTTAATGTGCTCAGCTGGAAACCAAAAGGTTGGTGTTCAAGTGTACCGGAGATGCCTTAGAAGAAAGTCTGGTCATCTACTTCCAAAAAAAATCAACCACTCAAACCCCTATGGAGCACAGTTCCACTCTGACACACATGGGGTGTCACCTCAATTTTAAGTGTAAAATATTTATGATTGCTTCGTGGCAGAAAGAAAAGTCAGACTAATTCTATATAAAGACAAAATGGTTTAATGTTAGAAAAACTAATAATTAGTTAAATTCTGCCTACTGAAGAAATATCAAATGAACTAGATATTACTCTGGAAAACTTTGTATTTTGGTATTAGGTAGATATAATCTTAAATGTGAAAATTATTAAAATTCATTTATAGTAGGTAAATAAAAACAAGACATAGGACATCAATCTGAGAAATCAAAACTGTCTTCACTCAATTGAAGAAAAATACTTCTGAAACAAATAGTTAAATGGTTATCTTCTCTTCACTCATATTTTGAGGGAAATTCCAATAGTTAGTCTTTCTTCTAGACAGAGAACAGAACCCCAAAGGGCTAATGATGAATGCAGAGACAGCATGCTTCAATCTAGTCAGAAGATTTTTCAGAATAAAGTGTACATTTCCAGAAGAGTGTGTAAAGTACAAATAAGGAGAAAGTTATTATTTAAATAGAACTTACAACTGTCCTATACAGCCCATAATTAGAAGTCTCCTAAGAGAATTCAGGATCCTCCTCAGAACAATGCAATCATTTTATCGTTTATCTCCTTCTTTACATCTGTACTAAATAATGTCAGCATCCCTAAGGATTGGTGTAGAAGTCCTTATCGTGGCATGATTTTTTGGTTGTTATAAGAGAAAGTTATAAGAAAACTTCATGCTCTTTCAAACCAAGGAGGCTGAATGGAAGGCAGAGGAATTTAATATAAGGGCTAAAGTTATTTCATTCACACATTAAAAAAAAAAATACAGTTAACTCAATTATCTAGATATTGATTACACACAAAGTAAATCATCTGTGCTGTATCTTCACCTCTATTGCCAAGTGGCCTGTGCAAATTACATTTTGGCTGTATTTCCTGAATTCCTTTCTTCATACCTTTGCTTTCCACATCAACCAGAACTTGAAAATGTCCACGTGGCGGCCACACTGAATTGCCTTGTCTCCAGTGTCGTAGGAGACGTCATACTGCTTGTCTGGCTGGAAGAGGTATCCAGCACACATCTGGTTGCATCCTTGGAGTATACCCTATTACAGAAAGTAGAGACATAGGGGCATCTGCATCCAGAGTTCAGAGATTTGAGTTTCTTTGAAACAGGGTGGATGCACATATACCTGGAAGTTAGGACGTGGGGTCATATGCAACATTTCTTCTCATGTTCTTTCTGAGGCCTTGTTCTGATACCCCTCTAAAGCTACTATTGGAAAAGATAACTTTTGCCCCTTTCCCTTCTGTCACTCTGATTAGAAGATGATTTTTTTTTGTCTTAGAGGCCTCACAACAGGGGCCCGCTGTCCCTCTAAGGAGCATTTGGAAATATATGTGGGTATCTGGCGTTGTTTCAAAAACTGGCAAGTGCTCTGGCATCCAGTAGGCAAAGGTTTGGGATGTAAACTTTCTGGGTGGCAGGGACAGTTTCATGCTGTGAAGAATTTCCTTCTTGGGAAAAGTTCTCCCAATTGCTCTTCTGATTTTTCAGAGGGTTTCCTATGAAGTCAATAGAGACTCTACTTATGAGTGGGGGCAGTGGGGGCTCAGGGGTAACTTCTTGCCTCCCACATAGCATCCTCTGGTTTGACTCCCAGCCAATGCACCTCACGTGCAGATACCACCGTCTGTCGTGGAGGCTTGAAGTGTTGCTAAGATGCTAACAGGTTTTAGTGGAGTTTCCAGACTAAGATAGACTAGGAAGACAGGCCTGGTGATCTACTTCTGAAAAATCAGCTGATGAAAACCCTATGCATCACAATGGTCTGATCCCATTGTGTATGGCATCAACCATCCATCAAGTTGACAGCAGCTAACAGTTTATGCGTGGAGTAAATAGACTAGGTGCTAGCTGCTCCAGGTCTGAGACAGACTTTTTGGAATGCCACAGTCTGCAAAAGTTTTACTAGAGGGCAGGATCCTATTATTAGCTGCTTAAAGAAGAGAGTGAAAAAAAAAAAAAAAAAGGAGCTCTGGTGGCATAGTGCCTAAGGCATTTGACTGCCAACCAGTAGTCTGGCAGTTCAAACCCACCAGGCACTCCTCGGAAGGAAGACTGGGCAATCTACTTCCGTAGCGATATCGCCTGGGAAACCCAAGGAGGGGTGTTTATGAGCCGGATCTGACTCGACGGCAGTGGGTAAAGAAGGGAATATAGCACTAGTCCATTTACAGAAGCTTTCTGCTCAACATGTCTTTGGGCCCTAAGTTGATATTTGTAGTTGTTGTACCATATGATTTATTTCAGTTCTTGGGACCACAAATTTATTCTAAGAACTCGAAGAACGTTCTAGTGATTGCTGTTTGTCCTCACTGAGGTGAAAGTTGGTGTCCCGCCAAACCACTGTCATTTTTGTTTCTATAAACATGAAGGAATATTAAATGATGTGATTCTCTTACAGTTTCTGTCACTGACAGGACCTGAGTACGGAACAAGGAAGAAAGGAGCAGATCACAATACCAAGAAGAGGCACTAGGCTAACAGCCAATGGCAAGAAAGAATAGCCACACAAGGGGGCTGCCAGGGAGTTTCTCTTCCTGTGCCTTCTAAAGGATGCACAGGCTGCCAGCTTCTTTCTGGAGGGAGTACAGAAACACCCCACCCCTATTTTTTTTTAACTTTTACTGTTATTATAAAAGCATTGAAAACATACACAACAAGATATTTGCCAACATAACACCTTCCCCAGTTACAGCTCAGGGACATTGATTACATGATTCATGTTGTACCACCATTATTGCTATCCCTTTCCAAAATTTTCCACCACCATTATCATAAACTCAGTGTCCCACAAACAAAAGCTTCCCCTTTCCTCCTCCCTTCTACCCTGGTAACCACTAATAATCCGTATATATGAAATATATGTATATATATGTATTTTTTTTTCCAACCTATCTAGGAATGTAGTCTCCCCTCCCCTCCCACCCCTGGTAACCAACAAAGAAAGTTTCCTTCTATATATAATCCTTTCCTTGACTTGTTACTAGAGCGGACTGCTACAGTTATCTGTCCTGTGATTGACTTATTTCAGGCAGCACAGACCTTTTCCTTGACGAGAATGGCAGAGCACTGCAACAGCACACCCATCATCTTGTGAGGGTTCCAGGTGACTGAGTTGGCCCTGAAAGAAGCACATGGTACTTTCAGGAGAAGGTACAAGAATCAGAAAGGGGCAAATGTTCTCCTGAAAAACACACCACCCATCTCTCTCCTAAATAGCCTAATCAAGTAGTAAACTAATATTCTGCAGCCAGCCTCAAGGTATTACTAAGTTGCAGACTGACTCTTCTGAGAAATTGTTATTAGTAATAGTTAATATTGATCACAAATTTATGTGTCCTATTGTTCTGGGAACTTTACAGGCATTATGTGAGCATGCTGTTGTGGTTAAGAACTCAGGCTTTGGAACCAGACTGTCCCAGTCCAAATCCTGGTGTTAACATCTGCTGGCTTAGGTAAGTGACATATATCCTCTGTGCCTCAGTTTTTCCATCTGTAAAATAGGGAGAATAAATGAACATCTCACAGAAATGAATAAAGAATAAAATGAATTAATAAATAAATGGGTATAACAGCTCCTTGTATATTTAACTCTCACAACAATCCAATCCTATGATGTAGGTACCATTATCACCTCTGTTTTAGATGGAGGAAGTGAGGCACAGAAAGGTTAAATGCATCACCCAAAGTCCCACCCACTGCCCAGCTGGGAAGTGTTAGAGCTAAGCCTCCAGTTGAAGGAGTCTAATTTACAGAGCCAGAGCTCATAATTACTCCACTAGACTGTTCCTCTAGCAATAGACTTTGGCTTCTTTCTCCCTTCTGCTTTTTACTTATAAAAGGGGCTAGTGATGATGCTGACCGACCTATTTACGGGGTGGTATGAAGAGCTCAAATAGCTTTTACTCCACTGCTAACCAAGGTTGGCAGTTTGAACCCACCCAAAGTTGCTTAGGAAGAAAAGCCCTGGCAATCTGCTGCTGTTAAGATTTGTAGCCAAAACAACCCTAAGGAGCTGTTCCACTCTGTAACACATAGGATTGCCATGAGTCAGAATCAACTTGATGGCAACTAACAACAACAGTGAAGAGTGACAGCTAAATTTAAGGATCAACTGGACTATTCCAGACTTTTGACTATCTAACTGTGCTGGTTAAATGCTAAATGAGCGAGATATTGCCAGTTTAAGCTTAACGAGCATGGTGTCCTAGCAACAGTATCACTATGTCAAACACAATTAAATAGTGAAGGAGGGCACTAACTAGGACATTATAGACACAACTAAGTGTAACGTATGATGATTAAAACTTGGGTAACAGTTGGAATCGACTCACTGGCAATGGGTTTGGTTTGGTTTGACCTTGCTTCAGTGGTTTACAGACTCCTTCCCAATGACTTGGCCCACAGCTGGGCTCTATGTTTTAATACCTGTGAAGCCTGCTTCCCCTGACACAGCAATTGAGTTGGAATTATACTGGCTCTGTTCTTCTTACATCAAAATGCTTGCTGTGAGTTTTTAATTTCATTATCTTGCAAAGCTCATTAGAGGGAAAATAATTTAGCAGCTATGTGACCATAGGGTGGGCACTATGTTTCAAGGAGAAAAAAGCAAAACCGGAACTATTTTTCCACTAAGTGCATAATGAAGAAAACCTTTGTGAAAGAGATATGCAAAAAGTGCCAAGAAAAGTTGAGTAAATGCTTATCTCATTTAAAAAGTGTCAGTGTTGAGCCATATTTAAAAGGTAGTGGATATAATCAATTTTCTCAGTGCGATCATTCACTGAATCATTAAAAAATTATATTTGGAGCTCATAAAATGTCTTAAATGGTTTTCTGACTGTCCTAAAGGTCTGAAGGAAATTATTCTTTGCTGTTACAAATGGAAAATAGTAAGACATGCTATGAATTCAGTCTTCCTTAGAAGACATATATACTTTAAAATGAGAGGAAAAAGTCTAGGGCAAAATGTTTCAACACTCAAAGGTGGAAAATAAAAATGGCTTGAGAAATCTAAGATACAGTTTGGCCTGACTCATATACATTTAATATCTTACCCTCCAAGTTTTAGGGTTATGTAACTACACTTCCAAGAGGCAATCTGATCCACCATGAAATTGGTTTTTCAAGTTGGAGACAGAAGGGAAGAGGTGCAGTGCATGTTACAAGAGAAGCCCTTGCTGGTGTGTTTTCTCTGATACCTGTTCACTGTCCACCTCTCTGGCCTCAGTCCACTCTTACCTCTATCACTTTGCTTCAGCCACTTGACGTGAACAATCCTGCCTCAGGGTCTTTGCACTTGCTATTCCCACTGCCTGGAATTCTTGGCTCCAGACACTCTGTCCTCTCTCTCTTTATCAGTATCTGCTAAAATGCTGCCTCCACTAAAAGGCCTGTGCCCACCCTATGTAAAATAGCATTCTCCCAAAGAGTAGCTGGTGGGTTGAACCACCAACCTTAGATTAATAGCCAAGTGCTTATAAATTGTGCCACCAGGGCTCCTTCACTGTTACCTAACCATATTTTATTTTTCTTTACTATGAGACAGATTTTATATATGGTTTGCTGATTAACATCTAGCCCCCTGGAAAAGCTTCAGGAGGGCCTGGCTCGTGATAGGTCCTCCAAAAATACTTGCTGAATGAATAGATGAATCAACGTGAGTTCATTATGGATCAATACTGAGGAATCTGGTCGAAATCATATTTGGCTTAGAACACCTACTGAACTTGAATGGTGAAAAAAAAATAATTCAGATAGACTGAGTGTCCTACTCCTTTCCTAGCAGTAAGTTTAATGAAAGAGAAGAGTTAAATGAATTAGCATCCTCCCTGTGTCCTTGGCAAACTCTGATCAAACCTTCAATCCCTGCACTGGTTAGTCTCTCTTCTCTCCTACCTAGGCACCTTGCAATTACATGTATTGTTAGCCTTATCACATGGTGTTGTAAGTATTTGTTTATTTGTCTTTCTCTCTTTCTAAATTGTGAATCAACTGAGGATTCATTTGACTGGAAAATCATGTTCAGTGGTAGACTTCTCACCTTCCACGCAGAAGACCCAGGTTCAATTCCCAGGCCATGCGCCTCATGTATAGCTACCACCCTTCTATCAGTGGAGGCCTGTATGTTGCTCTGGTGCTGGATAGGTTTCAGCAAAGTTTCCAGACTAAGACAGACTAGGAAGAATGGCCTAGATCTACTTCCAGAAATTAGCCAGTGAAAGCCCCATGGATCACAGCCGTCTGATCCGCAACCATAAAGCAGATGGTGCAGGATGGGGCAGCGTTTCGTCCTGTTATGCATGTGGTCACCACGAGTCAGGGGCCAACTCCATGGGAGCTACCAACAACAAGCATACAGTAAGTGTTCCATAAATGCCTGTTGAGATTAACTCAGACTGAACCAAGATGTTGGGAATGAGGTGCCAGCTGATGGAATGTTCTGTATGGAAGGAGGCCGAGCAAGCTCTAGCCCATACCTCTCTATGCCACTGAGTTTATGGCGGTGCTTCCTGGACATGAGCAGCCCTCCGCCCCAGGCAGCCTGTGACGACAGAGAAAGGAGAAGAGTGGGGAGCGGCAACATTTAAAAATGAAAAATCAGTCACTCCACACCTGCAGTAAAACATGAGTGAGAACGTAAAAGGTATGCCAAACTTCAAAGAAAGTAAAAGTTCCTCCGACAAAATGAACCTACACCGATTGTCCGACCAGTGATAGTTGTAATTATTCATCCTCTGTCATTTCTTTTTCAAAAGTTCCTCCAGGTTAATTGCAGAGTAGCTGTATAAGTGACACAGGTAAATTAGGTCTAAGCCTGTAGGGCTAAGACCCAGAGGCCCAAAATACTGTGGAAAGCCACAGACACTCAGATGAGCCCCGAGGGTAGCTCTGGAAGCCACCAAAGTCTGGAGCCTGACAGCTCACTTTTCTTAGAGTAGACTCCTAAGGAAGTCAGAATGCAGCTCCTGCTGGGCTTGGAGGTCTCATGACTGGCAGGAGAGCGAGACGTTTTGTGGGTACCATGTGGCATGTTTACTAAATAGCTTGGAATGCCACACGACACAAGAACAGGCTTTGTAAGTCACTTGTTCAATAGCAGGATAGATCATCCCATTGTCCAACTGTAAGAAGTTCAATCCATATGGGAAAGGAGAAAGACAAAGAAAGGAAAAAAAATACATCCAGGCATATGTTTTATTTCTGGGAAATTTCAGGGCTAAACCTCTTCATTGATAACATTCTCCATATACTGCCTGATTTTTCCTGCATGTAGCAATTATGCATTTTTTTAGAAAAGTGTTGTAGATGGCTGAACTGAAGGCAAGTAGCCAAGCATTCACATTCACATGGTCCCTGAATGTGAATTCACATTCTGTCCTCTCTATATACCATCTTGTATCTCCCCCCTTGAAATCTATATTTAACTCTGCAGCTGTTGTCTCCTGGGAGAATGATGGAGACCATATTCTTGGATGAAACACAGAAGATTGCAATTGACCAGTAAGGAACCAGGAAAACCCTAGAGTTTATACCAGGCCTGTGGTATGTACCAGTCATGAAAAGCTGGCTGGGGGCCAGAAAAGAGCTGGAACTAATGTGGTGTGGAGAGAGGGCCAGCTGGGTCGTAGGGAGATGCTGGAGGCAAACCATAAAGCAGAGCTGCTTCCACCCCCCAAACAGACTGGGTAGCTCTGTGAGTTATAGCACTTACATCGACATGCAGCCAAAGGTTATATTTCTCACATATATCTGCAATATCCTGTATCGGATCAAAAGCTCCATAAACAGTTGTGCCAGCAGTTGCATTGACATAAATAGGGATGTATCCCTACAAGGTAAGAGAGATGAGCTGATTAGTCTTTTTAACCTTTCTCATTTGCTCATTTCCACATGAAACAGAACAATTGCAATAGCATTTACTTCTAACACAGATCAACTAAGCTGGGGTTGGATTAGATCCTATATCTGGTGGTATTCATTTGCTAGTTCATTCATTCAACAAATATTTTTTGAATGACTTTAATATTCCAGGCCCTGTTGTAAATGCTGGGCATACAGCATTGGCCACAACAGATGAAGATTTCTGTCCTTGTGGGGTTTTAGTGACTACTAATAAATAATAAGCACAATATATAATATGTTTGATAGTTGTAAGTTCAATGGAGAAAAATAGATCCAGAAAGATAATAGTTAGTGCCTGGAGTAATGGGCAGGTATTTCTGAATATCATCTGGACATTATTCTTTTTAGAAGCTGTGTTGTTCTAGGTTTATTGATATAATAATTATCCTGAAGTATTGTTTGGTTACTTAAAACAGGTTCATGCATTATTAAAGCTGAAAAACTAATAGTGGACATAGTAACATTTTGACATGAAAATAGGAAATGAGGAAGGAAAATAACAGACTTAAGAGAGGTGAGGGACAGTCTCTAAGTCGTAGGTTTTTCTGAAGCTCAACTACACCTCTACCTCTTGCCCCATCCTAGCAACATTTCCCTCTTTCTCCTCTACTGAGGCTCTAGCAAATAGCTACAGTTAGAGGAGGTACAAGAACGGAACCAAAACAACGTGTTTGGTAAATGGCCTGACAGCTATCTGGCAGTGACTTGTGGATACATCTGTTCTATGGGATTTTTTTTTGTTTTGTTTAATAGAATTTGTTAAGGTTGGATTTGCCAAATATCAGGGGCCATCTGCCAGAGCATGGGAAATCTTTGCTAAACAGAATCCTAAACTAAAATGGTATTTGTTAAAGTGAAAATTTCACTTAGGCTGTATCTTCATGATGCTCAAGTAGTTGATGATTGATTTAAGAACATCAAACTAATCACTCAGCACAATGAAGATAGGACAAATAGTTTAATGACTAAATCTCATTTTTCAAAAAAAAAAAAAAATTCATATTGTAGAGATACAAATTTAAAGCCAAATCATCTCACAAGTTGGAATAAGAAAATACCTGAGAATAGAATTTTGGAACCCCCTAAGATTATCTCTTATATAATCAGAGGATTTTATTGTCTAGGGAAGCATTCATCAGAGTTTAGATGTACCATGGAATACATACCTTTTGCTTAGCTTCAAGAATTTTCGCCTCTAAATCAGCTGGAATTATCTTCCCTCTGTAATTATTGTAAAAGGGGAGAAATTAAAATGAAGAATCAATGAGATTGCACATGAAAAAAACTTCAGCAGCAGCAAGAAAGTAATTTAATCGGATATTTTCAACAGCCCATTAGCAGCTTGGCACACTGTACTGAACCAGTCCTTAAGCACAATAAAACAAATTTAACAGATGAACACATTTAATACATCAAGAACCTAATATTCGCTCTCCCCTGCCTACCTTTCATTGCATTTTATTAAAATCACATTGTCAGTTCCAAAGCCAAGTGCAGCCCCAGCCTTCTTTATGGAATAGTGACTCTGCAACAAACAGAGGTTTGAGGTTAGAAGTTAGATAATCCCTTGGAAAAAAACTACAATTCATGTGTAGGTGCCCCCAACTCACGTGTTCTGAGGTGAAAAGGACCAGTTTGGGCACAGCAGCCATGCCTTTTGTCTTAACTTCCGGGAAGTACTTGTATCGAGCAGCCATGATGCTGTACATGTTGGATATGGCTCCCCCTAGTGGGAAGCAGACACATTGGGAGGTGTTGGGGCTTTTTCGTTATTTCTGAAAACAAAGGCTGAGCTGAATCTCAAGAGAGAGGGAGGTCAGGAAGGAAAGAGATAGTATTCTGATAGGTTTTGCTGGCTTCTCCATTGCTAGAGCCTTCCTCTGGACCCTTTGCCCTAGAAATACAAGTAGTTACCTTCTTTATCAGTGCCAAATAGGCAATTTGGCTGGAGGTGATTCAGGTACCTCAGTGCCCTTTCTGTCTGAAGCCCGGACAGAAATATAAGAGATGGCAACAGCAGTGGTTGCAAAAGATGGGTGAATTACAACCTTCCTGCTTCCACTTTGTGCTCAATTTATTTACTGAACAAAGATGAATCTGTTCCCCGAGTCAGAGAGACAGAGAAAGAGAGTAATGGGGCCTACAGAAGGAAACAATGACAATGCTTGGTTACCTGCCTAGGTGCTGTCCTCCAAGAACAGCCCAACTGAGCTATTGAGTCATTTAGGAGAATTCTATGTTCACTGAAATAAAAACAAACTTGTATTTACCTAAATAAAGTAAAAAAGAGAATTGAAGTGACTATCTAGGTTTGTCTGGCCAACACACACTAGTCACTTTTACATCAATTGCCTGATTATTTAAGAGGTAAATTAATGATCTGCTTAAATTGCCTGGAAAATTGCAATTCTTATTTCTTCTCTTCTCGTTTTACACACTTACACTGTCCTTGACACCATAGATAACTCTTCCCTACCTATGTTCTGGTTTTAAAGATTTTTTTGTGTGTCTACATGGGACTAGAGGTTCAACGTAGACATTCCATTTTGATTGAAATTGACCAGTTGATAATCTTGATTCACAGATCCCCAGCTTAACTAAACTGCTTTTGATAGAACTATTGTTTAGCATAGTTCAGGCACAGCTAACAGTTTGAACAGGGTTAGGCACAGCCTCTGTTGGCTAGTATACAGAGAATGTAGCATTCTTGCTAGTTCACAGAGAAGGAACATTCTTGCTAGTCTTCATCCTGACAAAAAGGGTAAAGCAGAAGTATCAAAACAAAAGTTTTTCAAGGTCACCAACTCATTCTGTGTTTTGTGTTTTCAAGGATCCATATTTGAGGAGCACTGGGAGCTCTGGTAGCGAAGTGCCTAAGGCACTTGACTGCTAACCAGAAGGCTAGTGGTTCAAACCCACCAGCCACTCCTCAGAAGGAAGATGAGGTGATCTACTTCCGTAGCGATACCGCCTCGGAAACACAAGGAGGGGTTGCTATGAGTCGGGTCCGACTCGATGGCATATAACAGCAGAGGCAAAGAGAACATACCAGGAGAAAATATCCCATCACCATCTTTGCTTGACCATCCAACTATCTCTCTCATCTTCTTAAGTGTTATTTGCTCCATGAGGACAAACACTGGTGCAATTTCATATGTAAACCTAAAGAGGTAGTGAGAAAAAGAATGAAAATAAAGAAGACAAACTACTTATTTTGGAAACACAGATGATTAGTTTAGTACTTGTACGTGAGTTCTAAAACTGTAGGTTCAAAACCACTAAAACAATTCATTCCCTGAAAGTGCATTATGTCACCAATCATAAAATGTGAGAAACCAGCCTGGGTTACTGAGAGAGGTTGTAAAAATCTTCAGCAACAAAATGAGTTCTCATCTGAATGGGATGGTTTAGATATGGTCCATCTAGAAACTTGAAATGACAAAAAAAATATGACTTTCCTGGGCCTCTTTCACATATAAGATTGTAGCATGATGCAAATATCAATAGGAAAATCTATTCTAAGTTCTACATTAAATTGGATGGCAATTTTTTTCTCCTCACTACCAATATCTCACTTGTAGAATCTATAAAACCTAGAGCCAAAATCTAACTTTTAAAAAAATCTAAACATCTGAAAGCTAACTGTGAAGATAATTGTAAATATTGACCCAGGATTTAAAGAATTCAATATAATTATCTACTTGGTTTTTCTACCGATAATCCCCAAGGAAAACGATGTTTCTATAACTCTCTGAAGTCAATATCTGTCAAGAATAATTATAAATGATGATTTTCTAATGACCAATTATAAATAACAAGAAGACAGTCAATTGGCATGCACAGCTAACTGTGGGCATCAGATGTCTTGGTAGATGACTTCTGTCTTCTAACTAACTGACTTAACAAGTAGCAAGCCATGCTCTTCTTAAAGCAATTCAAAACCTAGGCGTAGTCTGGTAGACTCGTCATTGAAGCAAGAATGTGTGGCACCAAGCATAGGGTCTAAGAGAAATCAGGGACGGTCTATCCACAGAAAATTAAGCCAGACAACAACAACAACAAAAAGCTATTAAGTTCTGAGCCTCCTTGTCTTTCTTCTTTTTGCTTGGCTTGGTTCAGCATTATAGTCTGTGGGCTGGGCTCAGACCTTCCTTGCTGAAGAAGAATGCCTAGATTGACTCAGCCAACTGATAAGAGTGGACTTTATCATTGATTAGAATGGTTGGGCTGAATGCCAATGTTGAGGACTAATGGGAATTCTTGCTGGCAGTGATTTAGAAAAGCTACTTGCAAAGATGAGATAACTATTGTTGTATATAAGACACAGGTGAAGCTACTAATTTTTAATCATGGAGAAAAGCAATTAATCACATGGTTGTAGAAGAGGACAAAAAGGTACTGAAGGATCCTCAGGATATGTCTGTTGGTAGAAGAATTTTGTTTCCAAAAAGAATATGTCCATTTTCCTTGAAAGACCCCTGGAAATTTAGAAAGAAGACCCTTGGAAATCATGTGTTCGATTACCATCACCTCTGGAGGTCACAATCATGCTTTGGTTCTGCTCTGAGCCCCATCACCGTAGCAACCAACACTCCCTCATGTCTGATGGCCTGACAAAGGAAGAAGAAGAGAAGGATTCCTGGTTTAGCCTGTGCTGTTGAGTGTACCAAGGGGCAAACTCATGATGTGCTTCTAACCATAAATGAACAAATGTGTTATCAATGGTTCCACTTGATTTTTTGAAAACATGTTATAATGGCAAAAAATGTTTGCATGGTGAAGAGGCACTGGTGGCAGTCTGTGTGCTAGAATTTCACAATACCAAATAAGAAGGTTCTCTGGGGTTGCCACAGAGGTAAGATATGGGAAAAAATGGAATTGTACACTATAATTTCAGAACCTTGGATGAAAGTTGAGCTGGAAGTCAAGTCAGTGTTAGCCAGGCAGAGACCATATGGGAAAGGGATGAGGGATGGGACTGAAGGCACGGGATTGTTCCAGCTCTGTGCTTCATGATTTGAATAATTTTAGGCCCCATGTTTGCATGAATTAGTCTTTCTACCTAAGGTCTAGGAGCATGGCCGTCACTGTCAGAATTAGGAGGAAGAGTTTAGAGAGTTAGAGATTCTGAGACTATCTTATCTCCTCTATTTCCAGTTCTTTATCTACGTCAGGTACCCAATCCTAAACCTTCCTTTCAGTTCTGTTCCACAAATAATTTTGAGTTACTGTTCGCCACCAGGTGATAGCTTATGTACTAAGGAGACAAAGATGTATAAGACACCATTTACAAGCTTGAGGAGGAAGCGTACTAGGATGAATCCAGTATCTGGCTCTTGGCCTTAGTTGCATCCAGTTAGGCAATCCCTGCCTAGAGCTGGATAACACAGCTAACATTGATTTATCCTGCTCATGACCTTAGTCCTGACATCATCTCCTAGAAGATGGTAGACTGGTCCATGAGTGTTGATCCTAAGCCAGGCCTGACAAATGGATGTTCCTGAAACATCTTCTGATGCTGCCTTGCCGTGCTTGGCTGTGTTTGCAATCAAGGCCTTGAAGTTCACCCAGAGCAGAGGTTCTTAACTTTACTGGGGCCATAGACCCCTTTTAGAATCCCAGGAAAGCTATGATCCATCTCTCCAGAAAGAATATGAGAATATGCACATCACTTTGTATGCAATTATAGTAGGCTCTCCTCTTGCAGTCTGGACCCCAGGCTGGGAACCCCTTCCATAAATGACAGATGAAAGCAGATGAAGTCAAAAGAGCAGAGGTCAAATATGGATTCATAAGAGGCTGGTTGGATGCCAAAGTCAGAACAAAAGACTGTATTTCAGAATCAGGGAACAAGAAAATAAAGCTACAAAAAGCTCTGGGTTGAAGTGTAAGAACAGGGGATTGGGAGTAAGGACTTAAAACAGTAGGATGGTGACGTTCATAAAGTGACACAAAAGGAGAGTTCTGAGTCCTCCTCCACTTGGCATAGGGCAGTGAGTCAGCCCTTTTTAAGTGGTTCAACTCACCTTCCCACTGGTGTTCACTCAGAACTAAGGCAAATTGATTGTCAGGAAGTTGCAGTTCTCTTGTAGCATAGTTGCTGGTTGCTACCCAATATCAATTTTCCCTTCCTTCTTTAATAGCAGAGCCAAATTTTATTTAGGACTACAATTTACCTGGATCAAAGACTATGTTGTTATAGACTCCCTGCGTGGCCATGGGACTAAGTTGTGGCTAAAGAGATGTTATAGGAAATGTTGTGTAGGGCTTCTGAGAAGACTTTCTAGAAGGAAGGAGTGTGTCCCCTTATTGTCCTTTCCTTGCTTGTTTCCCACCTGTCTGCCTCCCTCTCTCTCTCCTTCCTGGATTCTGAAACAGATCCATAAGGCTAGAACTTCAGCAGCCAGCCTGGACCATGAGGAGACTTTGAGGATGAGAGCCATGCAGCACAATATGGTTCAGAGAGGCATGAGGAAGCCAGACTCTCAGTGACTGGCAAACTGGGAAGTCCTTTAATAAAGAATCTTCTATATGACTATCTTGACACTCTTTGACTTTTTCTCTTTACAGATGCGGCAAGCAGTCTAGCCTTACCCTAAAGGATAACACTCCCAGGACAGCTTGGTGGTGCCCCCTAGCATCTAGAGATGACAAGAGATAGAAAGGAAAGAGTTTGGAACTGAAGGGTAGGCACCTTGAATGACAATGGTGACCTGCAGTGTGGCTGTCTTTCCTGAGTGCATGCACTGCACCTTGTATGCACTAGACATTAAGGTTGCAGATATTTTTCTCTTCAGAATCACTCTGTAGTATGGGTATGATTATCCCTCATTTTTCTGATGAAGAAGCTGAGGTCCAGAGAAATTCAGTGATGTGTTTTAAGATCTTGCAGTATGTTTCAGAGTCAGAATTCCAAGTTCTTAATTTTACAGCTTATTTTCTATGACAAATGAGAACTCCTCACTTCAGGTTCCTCTCTAACAACCTGCCTAGAGTATAATATAACTGATAACTCCCATAGAAATTTTTTCCTGTGTTATTTCTGTAAAAATAAAGCACTAGATGCTTGAAACTATTACCTCGTAACACAAGAGCTATGATAGAGCTTGCCATTAAGATTATGTATAGCCATCAGGTGTTTGAGCAGGTGGGCACTGCTCAACCTGCGCAATTGTGCTTGGTAGCCCTGTTTTAAAGGAAAATTGCTGTATGTGCCATGGACAACTACCCACTTGTGAATTTTCCTTTGGATCTCCGCTGGGCCTTTGCATGGAAGAATTATCTCACATCTGTATGCACAGGCAGGCATCAAAGCAAGAACATAAATGCTGTTTCTATCCTAACAGTTTAACTCATCACTTAGATTCAGATATTGGATAGTTCTTTTTAAAAGACTATATTAGAAATATAACTATTATTCTCTACTACCAGTGCCACCAAAATTCAATAATGATAGTGCAGGCCAAAAAATCAGTGTATCACTAACTGAATCCTCTTCTGTCAAAGATCCTTTTCTCATTCTTTCTTAGACTTATTGTGAACACTGTTCCCAGTCAGAGAAGAACTGTCTGTCATGAGGGAGCAAATTCCTGCATAAGCACCTGACAAAGTGGCCACATTTCATGATCTTCCAGGGGAACTGGCTTAGAACAATTTCTAGATAATAGTTATTACTTCTTCAGACAAAGACTTGTCTCTAGAATTGACAGAAACTATTTCACTATTTTAAATAACCTTCTCTATCGATCTGCTGGAATCGGATCATATTTCATAAATATCCACTGTTCAGTATAGCTGCAATTACTGTGTGCCATTTAGTTGGATTGGCCTTGACCTCAGATGGCTGGGACATATTTTAGTGTTTCCTAGTTCAGCTGAGGCAAGAGAAGAGGAAGGGACTTTGATTTTATGAACACATACAAAAAGGAAAATCTGTGATCTTTCTGGTTGAAGAAAAGTCATTTAGGAGGGTATCAGGTCATAAATGGCCCAAAGGGATGAGTTCCTTTTATTTACTTTGAGATTGGCTGTATATATTAGGAAATAGCAGCTAAGAGGCCCACAGAATACACACTGAAAGGCAATGGGTGAATTCAGTGCCCATGTGAACATGGGTACTAGGGCCTTAATGTATATATACTTTTTACTCTGTTTTTCTCATTTATTTTCCAAATGGTTGAGTTTAAAAAACTACTTTCTAATTAGAATTGCTCCTTGGTGATAGATGCTATAATTATGCATTAGGGGTTGTTTCCTAAGTTACAATCAGTGTATTTTGATGTCTGTACTTGGTGATACATTTTAATCTCACAAATCTTAATACAGTAAAGAAGAGTTTTTGTTTGAGGATACCATAAAAGCAACTGTGTCTCTGACCTGAATTCCTCTGCCTTCCGGAGACTCCGTGAAGTTAACCATGACTTAGAGTAGGGAAGCATGAAAAACCGTTTTCATTTTTCAATCAATTTAATATTTTATGCCTTTAGCACGAAAGGCTTTGCTTGACACATTTGCTTTTTTAAATTTGCATTGTTGTTTTAAATTAGCAAACAAAGCAGGAATTCTTAATTAATAGAAACTTTTCTGAATGTGGTTAAGTATTTAGACACATCACATTAAACTGTTTTGGAATACACACAAACCAATATATAACTTTTAAGTGTCTTTTAGGTTTTGTAAGCATATAACAACAACAGTAACAACAAAGGCGATCTGGTGGTGTAGTGGTCAAGGCATTTGGTTGCTAACCAAAAGGTTAGTGGTTTGAACCCATCAGCCACTCTGTGGAAGAAAGATGAGGCAGTTTAATTCTGTAAAGATTCACAGCCTTGGAAACCCAGTGGGGGTTGCTATGAGTTGGAATTGATTTGATGCCACTGAGTTTGGTTTTTTGGTTGGGAGTGGTTTGTTTCAGAAATACAGACTATCTTAAACATGAAGAACTTGCATTCTGTAATGATGCCCAATAGAATTTCTCATTTTAAGTAATACAACCCTTTTACCTAAATTCACTTTTCTGAATCTATTATGGGCAGTCTCCAGGTTATGAACATCCAACTTATATACAACCCTTAAAGCATATTAAACTGAAAATTTAAGGTACATACAATGGTTCGTGATAACAAACGGGCTATACTTCAAATGGACATTACTTTGCAAAGCACATCAAAACATCATTATTTTTACTACATTATTATATTAAAGATGTTTTAGTGTATCAGGAAGTTTTTTTTTTTTTAATGCATAGAAAGTTACACTATTTACTATCTATAAAGACAAACATTTGGTCAACTGACATTTGATACAATCTGAATCACACCTAACTATTCCAATTTATGGACAAATTTGACATAAAGGCAGATTTAGGAACAGAACTTGTTTGTAATCCAGGGACTGTCTATATATACATAAACTTAAAAAGTGAGTGGTCATTTTCTTAATATTTCCTCAGCAATTATTGTTGTTACCTGCCATGGAATCTGCTTCTGTCTCAAGACACAACAGGACCACAACATTGTGATCGATAAGGTTTCATTGGCTGATTTTCAGAAGTAGATCACTAGTTAGTCCGTCTCAGTCTAGAAGCTCGACTGAAACCTGTTCAGCATTATAGCAACATGCAAGCCTCCACAGCCTGACAGATGAGTGGTAGCTGCGTCTGAGGTACATTGGCTGGGAACTCCAGATCTCCCACACGAAAAGCAAGAATTCTACCACTGAACACCTACTGCCCACCCCACAGCAACTAAAACCCAGGTAATACTTGCATCCCTCAGGCCTTTGAGTCAATTTCATAAAAATTTACTAAAACTTAGAAACAAAGACTTTGCCTACACAAACAAGTATAGGAAAACATGTCAAATTCAGAAAAGCAGTTATTTTGAAAGGAATATATATTTCACCAGCTGAATTTTATTGTAGAATATTTAGTTAAGCGATAGATTGACTCGGTCAAATCAGTTGGTGACTTTCTGGCAGCTTTAGTTATAGAGGAAATATAACCTAAATGATAAGGATCAATGTACTTGGATGGGAAAATGAACCAAGATCATATCCCAGAACATTAACTATTTAGATATACCATTAAGAGACATGAAACCTTTTAACATGAAATTTTACACTAAAGTTTGAAAGCTTGAGTTATCATTTCTTACAACCATATTATTATTAAGTTGCATTATACAATTCAAAAAGTATCTACTCTTAAACCAGAAGATAAATCTAAAAGATTTTAAGAGAAAAAATGAATAGGGCAATTTTAATAAAATTATTATAAAACCATTTATAATAATTAGTTTGTAAAGCAACCAATGATAGCCATACATCATGGATGCTTACATGGGACTTACATATTGGTATTTGCAGTAGATGTCAGCCATTCACCAGCTAAGCCAATGATATCCAGTCCAGTGGAGAGCTGGTTGAAAAAACGAGGATGACCTAGAGAAATGAACAACAGGCATGGATCAAAGAAAACCTGATTTTCAAGCTACCTTCAAAGCAAAAAGCCTGCCCCACTGAGCCCCAGTTATGGGGCCTCCACCCAATGATATGTCTGATAAGGGCCCCTAGGACCTTCGAGAAGTAAGGACAGGTTTTAAGTAATACAACCCTTTCACCTAAATTCACTTTTCTGAATCTATTACAGGCAGTACCCGGGTTATGAACGTCCACCTTACATACAACACTCAAAGCTTATTACACTAAAAATTTGAGATACATACAATGGTTCATGATAACAAATCCCACACCAACCCTTAGCATTAATGATATCCCCCACATCTATATGTTTCTAAAGCATCATGATTTTAAATAAATAAAAAAGATCCAATACCGTAAACCTGATCATGCTTTCTAATATATTACTTGGTGATTTCCAGATGAACTGCTCTGTTACATTTATTTTAATTCCAAAACAGAATGTGATAGTCCTGCTTTTCCCCATAACACTTTCAGCTTTTAATTTAACATCCAAAGAACAATCTCAAAATCAAAGTTTGGTTGATGAAGAAGAGGTTGTGGGCTTCAGAGAGGGTTTGTGACTTTGTGAACCAAAGCAAGCCTGGGGCCAGTGCCAGCTTTGATGCTGATGCTGTGGGCATGGCATCACTCTCTGGGTCTCTGTGTTGGTCCAGTAAAATATGGCATAGAGCATGGGTATGTCTTTCCCACATATTGTCAGCTGACCGTTAAACTAATTTCTTGCTGAAATGACCTGGCATCTCCTCTGTGAAATGGGACAGACACAGACTCCACAAACTCCTTCACTCATTGAGTTGTTGATGAAATAATTGTTATTACTACATAACTCTAAAGCCTTTTGCAACCCACAGAATACTTTAAAAAGTCTTTGTTCTCAGCAAATTCAGGATCGTTGCTAAGTTTTGGCCAACTTGGCATTCACTGGAAAACCCAACTCCACAGCAGCAGGCTTGGCTTGTCAGGAAGGAGTCAACACAATAGATTATCTAGGAGGGTGTGACAGAGAACTGGTGTTAGAAAGATATGCTGACTGTTCTATTTCCAGTGGAAATTGCCTTTGCCTCTGAAATAACTGTCAGAGAGCTAATGCTTGAATGTTCCTGGTCTAACTCCTCTCTCTGAAAAAGTTTCTTCTTCCCCAGGTGTGACGGGACACATTCAAAAACATCTGGACTATCTCTGACTCTTTTATCAGAATAAACCAATCTCTTCATCTTAACAGTTCTCAAAAACTAATAATGATTTTTATTTCTTAAAAAGGAAGCATAAACAATAAACTTAGTGCAAGTATGGGCCCAGATTGCAGATATTCACGTAGAGTGAACAGCTCAAACTAGCCCATTTCACTCTACCTTGCTTGCTACCAACAGAAACTATGAGTTGAAATCTATTATTGTTGAAACCTGTTTTGTTGAAATCCATTAAAATTTGTATGTGATATATCCATTTGAAAACTTAACAACAAACATTTGATTTTAAGACATAATTGAATCATAAATAAATGCAATCACACTATTTGCTAATGTATCAAAACTACATAGCAGGCAGATATAAAAGACAGGCAAAGACAGACAGAGAAATGTCCACAAATCAAAGTGAAACCGTTATCACTGTGTCCACTCAAATCTAAAAGACACAAAATCCACAAAAACCTGACTTACAGCTTATGATATAATCTTATGACCCCAAAATCTTATGTCAGAATTTCTATCAAGTAACAAAATGACCGAGTTTAAAATTCAATTTCAACTCTCTTTCTTCAATGAAAATAGCAGATGGTAGATGTGGTAGTGAGCAGTGACATGGCCAAAAGTCATGTAGGGGGAGAAATAAGGAGTACTTTTAATAAAAATAAAGTTTTTTAACAAATAAATAACAAAAAGAAGATGGAGGGAGAAATCCATTGATTAAGAGACATCAACCAACTGCAGTGTGACAGACTTACTTAGATTCAGATCAAATAACTTATCACAAAACAAAACATTTATAAAATTCATGAGACAACTGGAAATTTGAACATTGAGTCAATATTTAACGATGATCAGTATAAAGTTTATTTCCTTTAGTGTAACAATGATACTGTGGTTGGTTTTTTAAAAAAGTTCTTGTGGACGAAGAATAATCCAGATGATTGATAGATAGACAGAGTCGTATAGTGGACTAATGAGAGTCTATGCTTTCTCTGACTGTGAAGTATTTACATTTTGTCGACAATGAAAAAAACATTTGCCTTTGAGTTAATTCTGACCCATGGTGACCCAGATGTATCAGGATAGAACTGGGCACCATAGGGTTTTCAATGACTGAATTTTTGGAAGTAGATCACCAGGCATTTCAGTATCAGGTGCCTCTGGATGGACTTGAACCCCCCACCTTTCAGTCAGAAGCTGGGCTCGTTAACCATTTGCACCACCCAGAGACTCTAATAATGTAGACAATCTGAGATGTTATTATGACAAATCCACAGATTTTTCTTGGAGGAATAACACCATTCTGGGTTTAATGATAAAATTGTGTGGTTTCCATTTCTCTGTGAAAGTGGATGCAAAGTGAACTAACAAAATGAAAAACATTAGACCTGAGCAAGGCAAGCTAAAACATATATGGGGAAACTCTCCCTCTTTTATCCAGCTAAATAACACTATTTGATCTTCATCAGGAATAAGGAAGCCATCAGATGAAGCTGAGATGTAACTAAATTAATTAGAATGTTTTTCATTAAAAAATCAAACAATACAGACTTTGTACATATAATTGAGTTTTATGCATCAAAACTTATCCAGTGAAGTCACGCTTATTCTAGTGGTGCTGCCAGAGATCAAAAGTTATTTGGCATTCCTTATTTTAAAAGATAAAAATTTCTCGGAAGGAAGACTGGGCAATTTACTTCCGTAGAGACACCACCTCGGAAACCCAAGAAAGGGTCACTATGAGTCGGAATTGACTCCACGGCAGTGAGTTTGGTTTGGTTTTTATTTAAAAATGCCTCTTTGGTCAGCCTCATTATTTCATTGTAACACTTTGTTTTTGACATACAATACCCTTCCTCAGCTCTATCACCATCCTCCCCAGTTTGGGCCTTAAATCTATCTTCAAATAAAAAAGAGAGGAAATATAAAGGAGAGGGAGGAAGAAGAGAGGAAAAGAGTGGGAGCTGCCAAGTGTGGCCTCAGGGCTCCCCCTGCGATGCCAACTATACCACAGACTGCCAATTACCATTGATCCATCCACCCAAGAGCTCAGGAAAGCCAGGCTATAATGGGGAGAGAGTTACTGTTTCACTCCTGGGCTTAGAAACAGCCTAGACATAAGTCTATAAAGTACTTGAACTTGAGACAGCTGGAAAGTAACCACTTTGGCCAGAATTGCTGATTGAGGGGGTTTTCGTAACATGAAAAGGAGGCAATAGGGCAGTTGGATATGGCAATGGGATATGGTGATTCGGGGTATCTAAACTCCAGAGGCTGGAGTAGAATGTGAAATAGGGGGGTTGGCTTTTTGGTCTTGTCAATAGAAGGGGAGGGAAGAGGGCCCAGTTTGTATCAGGGACAGGCAAGGGTAGGAGTTATCAGAATGAAATAGGAATGTCAAATGGAGAAGGAAAAAGAAGAAGTCGTAGGGGATGGGTTGTTCTCTCTTTAGGTTGTGAATAGCCTAAAACCAAGAATGAACAACTTTTCATACAGAATTTTGACATGTATCTGTACCATCTTAATCTACCTTTATAACAATAAATGATAAAATAGTAAGTTTTTGCCACAGTCAGGGGCTTCCACCGACTGTCACAGCCAAAAGTCATTCTTGTAGTCATGGAGCAATCTGCTACCTTCCCTTCAACATGAGTTTGATATGTTCACAATCTGCATGGGTGGGGTATAGGACAAGGGTGCCACTACAGGCCCATGTGGTTCTCACCCTTACCTGTGCGGACCCCATACTTCAGGGTATCTCTGCAGTCAACAAGGATCTGCTCCAGAGATTCAGGGTGGTCAGAGAGCTCCAAGTTGAAACCCTCCATGCCTTCCAGCAATTGGTGTGGATGATGAAAGTCCAGCACCTTGGTGGAGCGGTCGAATGTCTTGCGGACATAGTTGAGGAGTATGTCCACCACTTCCAGCAGAAACTGCACAGTTTGTTCCTCCCCATTCTTGGATGGAAGCAAATCTGAGGGGAGAAAGCCAACAAGTGATTATCACCTGAATTAGAACTATATTTTCTTGGCCCAGAAATCCCTAAAATCAGTCATGATATCTTTATAGGCAGAATTTCATTTCAGGATATAGATATACTTGAAAATCTGACAAATCATATTCCCAGATAAAAGCACATATGCACTTCCACAAAATTTTTGTAGACACTTTCTGAGGTTCGCAGGCTTTGTGCTTTGAGAAGCTGTGAGCTCCCGACACTGCAGCTATGCATGTGCAGGCCAGTGGGAACCTATCTTGATGGAGGAGTCTTCTGTCTTGCTTCCCTGGTACAAGGTACGTCTCTGTTCCACAGTATGGTTCTGGCATTGAGCTTTTGGTTTGGCGTTATGATGGATTTGATCTGTTGATAGCAGAGGGTAAGGCCTCTGTGGTAGTGGCTGTGTTCTCTCCTGAAGACAGTGGCTATTTGTGGCATCCTCAGACAGGAAATTAGAATTGGAAGGTGGGCTTGGGAAGGGAAGAGAGGGGAGTCCCGCCTTTCTCTTGACCTCAACCAATGGGCTTGAACTTTGGGATGTCTGGAGGTGACTGAGCATCATCTAGTATTATCTGGTTACAGTCTCTGTTAGGTAGAGTCATGCTAGGCACCTAACCAGGGAGGAACACTATAGGTGGCCCAAGTTGGAGATGTTAGCCACAGCTCAAGAGAAGGTTATCTGGCTGTATATGATGCTCTGTGTCCATTCCCAGGGTTATCTCTGGGTTTTTATTAAAGTCTTGTTTAATGTTCTGGTTTGGACTCTGTGGCCTTATGAGAAGGGAGGAGAGTGGTGGCTCTACCTTTGAGTTGTTTGAGGGGAGAAGGGTTATACACCTCCTGAGACCAGCGCTGGGGGGCAGGCAGCAGTAATCAATTAAAGAGCTCCCAAAGGAAAAGGAATTTCAGGATAGTCCTTAGTTCTGAGGCCCAGTCACACATCTCCCAACATTCTACCTTGCTATCTCACTCTACCATTCTATTTCTTTTCTTTGCCAACCCTGGGGGATGTTATCAAGGGAACCAGTGGATTTCTTATATGTTCCTTCAATTTTGAGATTCTATGAATCATATTTCTCCCTGCCGATATCTTCAGAGGGGCTGTTCTAATTAGTTGACTATTCTATTGACTGCCCTTGTCCCACTTCCAAAATGAGGAGGCTTGGGCAGTTGGAAAGAAGGGAGTATATTGTAATTCCCAGAAAGCAGTCTCTCTTCAGAGAGAATAATGGCATGTTTTGGAAAAATAAGTCAAATTTCAAGAAACAGTCAAGAAACTCAAATAAGAAAACTTCTGGAGAGCACTAGGGCAAGGATGGGGGAGAAGGAATACCTCGAGCAAACAGGTTGGAGAAGTCAGTCTCAGTGCGCCGGAAGCGGGCGTCACGTTCACTGTTTTCACAGGAGAGCAGGTTCTTGGAGGACTGCCTCTCCTTGAAGGCACTCACAAGCCGGCTCTTCTCTTCCAGGCTATTGGTCCTTTGTAAAAAGCCTATGGCATAAGAAGCTGGGTCAGAGGGAGTGCGCTGAGCTACCCACCTATGAAGGTGAACTACTGGGTCCAAGTCAACTCTCCAAACGGGGTTCTTCCCTCTCCTGAGAAGTCTAGTGTCTTCATTTTATATATAGTGGCTCTGGCACTACTCGCCTTCAGGCGGGGAGGGGGCAGTGCCAAGCATCATCAGTGGCACAGATCCGGTCATGCAAGAGAGAAAAACAGTAAGAGAAGCCCATTCTGCTCTCTGAACATCACAGTGAACTAGGAATTAAGTCAACTGGACAACTTCCACTCCAGTAACCAGCCCCAGGATAGGGTTTTAAGGGAAGGGATGCAATCAGAGAGGATGCTGCCACCACTGGGTTTATGGGCTGTGCAACCAGGGGGAGGATGGGGTGAGGATCAGCAGAGAGAAGAGGAGGATTGGGGATCCCCCTGGAGATCATGGAAGATGTTTTCCTCTGGCACCAGATAATGCTCACAGGACTGCATATAAGTGTAGGGTTTGAGTCCTAAACCTGGAGGGCAGCTTTCCCTGTACTACCCTCTATTCTTGAACAAAAATATTGAAGAAAGAGACAACTAAGCTTAAAATCTATGTGGTGTCTTTAAATTCTTTAAATAATTATTGAACACCTATTGTTGAAAAAAGGAACTCTGGTGGTGTAGTGTCTAAGGCATTTGACTGCTAACCAGAAGGCTGGTGGTCCAAATCTACCAGCCACTCAGTGGAAGGAAGACTGGGCAATCTACTTCCATAAGGATTTACCACCTTGGAAACTCAAAGGGGGTCGCTGTGAGTTGGAATTGACCCTATGGCAGTGAGTTTGGTTTTTGTTTGTTTTGTTTATTGTTGAAAAACACTATACCAAGCTTTTAGGATGGGGACAACATATAAAGATAAATTAGGTGGACACCGTACCCTCCAGTAGCTTACAGTCTACCAGACAAGACAGACGTGAATGTGCCTTTGATGGTGATGAAGGCTGTAATAAACAAAGAAAGTGATCAAAGAACTTGGGAGAGATGACTAAAGTCCAGAGTGGGTTCTAATTGTCTCCTCTCTGCAGTTCACAGGGAATGAAAACCTCTCCCACCAGAGAAGAGGATAACAAATATGACCAGCAGCAAACAGAGAAGCAGGGCTGAGCCAAAGAGCTGGAGAACCTGCCAACTTGGACCATACTCCCTCCTCCATCTCCACCTATCCCCTCTGGGGCTCCTGGCCTGTAAACCTGCTCCTCCCTTCAGCATCTCCTCTTTCAATTCTGCCTCAATCTTAGCTCAAAACTTAATATATATTATATTAATATAATATACCTAAAAGAGGAAGAAAGTGCTAAGCTTTTTTGAAGTGACCCCCAAGCTATCTTTGTAGAGACCAAGATCTGTGGGAAGTCAAACAGTCACAAGGCAGGCTTGGAGGAAAGTCCCAGGAGGTGCAAGAAAGACAAGTTAATCTAGGAGTTCAGCTTTACTTCCCTAGGACAGCAATTCAGTGGTGATGGGTGGAGGAAGGAGGGATGCAGGAAGGTTTCTTTCAGTGATTAGAATCCTCCCACACAGACGCTAGTGTCTATTTTTGGAGGGAGGAATAGGAAGGCAGAAACGCCAGGCCTTTCATTGTTCCCAGCACCTTCTATACTTATCATCAAAGCCCTAAAGGACATCAGAAGGGGGGAAGTAAATTATAATGGACCCCACACTTGGATATAGAGATGAAGGTTGCATCCTTCTCCTCACCTCTTCTCCCACTTTCTTTTTTTTTTTTAATTTTATTTTGATTTGGGTGAAGATTTACAGAGCAAATTCACTTTTCATACAGCAGTTCACATATACTTTGTCTCATGTCATTGACCAAAATTTACAATGCAACAGC